ACTTTATTTATAAAAAATTTCTTTATTAGAAATAAAACAACTTTATTAAAATCATAAATTCTAAAATCAACTCATCATTATGAAACATTACGACATAAAAACACATTGTTTGGCTAAATATCAAAAAAACCTTTATATACTTCAATGATCAGTGTAGCCACTAATATACAACAATTTCTGCATGAAATATAATTTTTACAGTCAGTAAATTCATTTTTTATTTTTATATATGGGCAAGTACGACTAAAAATTTTTTTAACTTTTTTTCAGGGAATTTTTTGTTAGTTATAATGCCAGAACTATGACAATTCTATGTAGTAGCTGTTTAGAGATAAATAAACTAAACGTAAAACATAATACATTGTTATAACAACAAATAAATAAAATAAAAATTTTCTGTTAACAATAAAAGTATATTTTTAACGTAGTCTAGTTAATCTTGGTAAACCCAGTGTTCATCAGGATTTCACTAAAACTCAACTATTAGTTTAAAAATAAGAAAATGACTGGTCGATAATAACTTATGAGCCAGTATTTTAGAAACTTATATTAACACTTCTACACTGTAGCAGATGAGTAGTGGGGTTCATAAATAAAAACTAAAATAGACCACTATATTTGTCATAAAGGGGACAGACGGTGATAGGATCAATTTTTTTTTTTGTATGAAATTTATTGAACTTATAATACTATTAACTTCTGAAAAGAAAAAATTATAAAGATATTGATTATAAAATTTTTAAATATTACATGAGGCATAGTTATAACTATGTTTCTTTTAATATTGATTGATTGTAATCAATCACGCTGTATTTTGATATTGTATAAGAATTTACAAATTATTATAGTTTATTTTTCTTAAAATTATAAAAAATATGTAATACAATTGATATTATTTTCAAGGTAAAGAAAACTATAATATTTCATTTATGTCCTAAAACACTAGTTAATGTTTATTCAGAGCAAAATGTCATCGTAATACACATTTAATATTATTATGTATGATAACTTATTCCAAAAAATATAGTAGTCTCAAAACCACCTCTATAATTGTATAATTTACATTAATAATGAAGTGTATTTTTAAATTGGTTCTTACAAAATAGAGGTGAAACCTATATTTTGATTTATAATTATTTACTTGAAATCATTAACATGTTTGCTTATTGATAGTAAACATTTTTGATTTGTTAAGTTTTTTTTTATCGACGAAAAATCCTCGACAACTAAAGTCATTAGCTATCAATTCATCATTTTTGTGTTTTTTTTAAATAATACTTCAATTTTAAAAAGATAAAACATAAAGTTTATTCCTAACTCAAGTATACCGTGTTATATCAAATCAACATTAAACTTCTTATACATATCGTTTACTATTGTATCAGATAGATTTTAACTTTTTTGTTTATCATGAATTCAGTTGTGACACCAAAATATGAATTTAATATAATTTTTAAATTTGAATTTATTTGCTAAATGAAATATCATTGTTTAGAATAACAAAATTCTTCATTTTTATATCTTTGTAACAAAAAGTTATTATTGATTAGGGTATTATCCAACATACGGAAATCTTATCTTAAATAACTCATATCTATTAATTCACATATTTTTATATTCAACGCAAGTAGACTATCGTACATTATCGGTTACTAATGTGAATAATTTTTATTGATAACTGTCATAAAAAATATAAATTTTTGCCAATAAAATAGATTAAAGGATTAAAATATATCCGATATAAAGGAAACCAAATTATTGATTAATTTTTACTTTAAATCCAAGTTTTTTAACTACCATAAATGAAAACGGTTAATCGAATAAAACAAATTATAGAGATGTTTGTTATTTTTTACTTTCTTGAATACAAATATCTTAAAAAAATTCAAAAATTAAAATGAAAAAAAATCAAACTGTTGCCAATTTTAAAATTTTTTGTCGCATCAGAAAAAAATATTTTATTTTATTTATTAGTTATGTTTAGATGGAAATTATGTATACATTGATTCAAGTTAATATTTAGTTATCGTCTAGAAAAAATAATTTTCATCCTGAATTGTCGTCATCGTTATACGATCCAATAAGTATGACATAATCAGTTGTTTAAACATTCTCTAATGATGTGAAGATTATACTTAAAAATTTGTAAGATGATGTCAATGGATTGTCTAATTATTTTTCCTAGACAATGACCGAATATTTATTTGACTCGCTGCAAATATTAATTCTGAATTTCTGTTAAGATTACGTGTGATATACATAATCACGTTATTCATTTCTTTGCAAATTATATTAGCTTCAATGCGAAGCTGAGAAGGTATTGGTTTTACTATGTGTTTTTTTTTTTTTTTTTTTTTTTTTTTTTTCCCTTTT